AAAATAACATGTAGTAAATATTAATGTGCTATAAATTAGAAGACGTTGTGAAGGGAAGGGTGTGTCCACAATGCTGATTTATTACCTGCTTTACCCACGAGAGCTTGAGATAAGAGCGAGGGGATATTTATTGATTAAATTTGCAGGAGAAAGGCCGAGTCTTACAAAGAATGATATGCATTTGACCTGGAAATTATCAGATGATATTGTTATAGTTTTGTGTTTTGATTGTCACGGTAGGGTTTTGAGTGTTGCTAGCTGTCTCCGTTTTCCTCTTTGTGTTGTACTGAAGTTGATAAGATCTTGTAAAGAAAACCAGATGCTAATTAAAAGCATGAACCTGAGAGGCATGAATTGACCCTTGTCGACCTTGTTAAAGCACTAAACCTTGTCAACAAACACTTTTCAAAGGCAGGCATTTTAACTTCATTTTAAAACACAATGACAAAAGTGCGGTCACAATGAATGAGCTGCCAGCAATCGGATCCTCATGTTATGCACAAAGAACTCTGGGATCGCCAGGGGGCAAACATTGCAAGTCGCTAGAAGGAAATGTATATCGAAAAGTTGTTTCGACGTCCTAAAAAACCATTTTGGGGAGAGATCAACGCTTTTTCGCCGTTTTTGCGAATTTGGGCAATGTTGATATGTGGAAAATGCAAGCTTCTGTTTGAATGACCGTGAAATATGTGATAAAATCTACCGATAAACTCCTTTGCTTGCGTGAGGTTTATTGTGAGATTTACATCGCGTAATGGTCTTAACAGCAAACAAATTTAGGTATAAATCGACAGTAAATAACCCAGTAAAGCCTTTTAAGCTGTGTTTAGGCTACTCCTGACTTATTTGGAAGCTCAGTTATGCATTTAATATATCTATCAAGTTTTGTAGGCCGATAAAACTTGATAGATAACTAGATAACTCCCGATATGGAAACCTGAAGGAATGACGGAAGAAAGCTATCAATAAACATACAACTGCAATCAATATTTTCAAAGCCAACACGAAATCTAGAAGCTAGATCTTCGAAAAATAAAAACAGAAATGCAATTAAGCTAAGCTAAAATACGAAATTACGAAGGATACGAAGATAGATTTTCGATGCATGCAAACAGACAACGGACGCATCTCAAAACAAGTTATAAAAGAAAAACACCTACCTTACCAACTGAATGCTGGGAAAATAAAAACCGATAAATGGTACACAAAAGCGAAGCACCCAACACGAAGGGGGCAGAAAATCCACTCGCACAAGCCAACTAGCACCCAGTCCTCTCATCTATAAGATCTAAACTAGTGCCCAGTCATCTTGGTAGAATTCCTTTCGATCACGTGACTCTCGTAAACAGACAAACTACTTGCTGCCAACTTAATGTAAGCTTCGCACACGCAAAAAGTTTAGAACAAAACAAGTCACTAGGAAGGCAAGTTTGTTGGTTTTCTCTTTCCTTTAGAAAAAAATATTACCGGGCCTCACTTTTCGCACAGAAACCAATGATGATAACTGCAAACTTAAAAAAAAAAAAAACCATCCGCGTTAAGGCCTCTAGGCCTCTTGTTTAGGCTAAATTCTCCCGTGATCACCCCACGAACGATTGGTACACCTCTGGTATTCTCCACCATTGCTCAAAGCCACAAACTTTTCCCTCTGTCCCTCTGTACAGTTGATATCATTATTCTTGGGAAAACATTGATATTCCTCATTGGGATTGGAAATCAGACAGTCTCCTCTGTGGGGGAATAGGCATTATCTGGGATTTGTTGATCCATTCCCATGAACACCAAAACCTTACAAATCATTTCAGAACTAATCGCTGTTGACAGAAAGTTTGGGAAGATTAAAAGTCAGCTTTTGGCACTAGGAGCTCTCCGATGGATTGGGTAAACAATGTGAGCTATGATTGGCCATTGGATGCCTTTGGAAACCATTGATCAATCGTAGCTCACATTTTGTCTCTGAACCATCCCAGTAATGGTAAAGGTCTGCATATGAGCCAAGGGGCCTATTAGACCAGAGCTTATCCCAGTTTCTGTAGCATGAAGCAACTAGGAAATTTCTACTCCCCCCTGGATGAAGTGCTACTCCACTGCAGGGTTAATGACCCCCAGCATTAAGTTCACCGGTGACAATTTATACACCCGCTTAATCCAGAGGCAAGCGCCCTAACCATGGGGCCGCTGTGCCTCCCACCTTCCCAGTAAATGCTGGTGCAAAAAGCTGGCACTCAGTCTCCCCAAAGTTTCTGTCAAGGGCAATAAGTTGCTTGAGCGTAACAAAATATGAGGGTGTCCAAAACTCTAAAATATGATGTTCCTGGTGAAATATTATATATCTGGGTGGCTAAAGTGCTAATGAGCTCAAGCATTTTTTATAAAACGTTTGAGTTTTCAATTAAATCCGCGTGGCACAAAAAGTATTCAATACATCGGGCTCAAATTCCTTGGGACTTGCAATTGTGCTGTGCTCTTTCAATTTTTAAAACTGATATTTCTGTAGCTTGATCAGGGCTGAAACGGCTATGCTAATGAGCAAATACCGTAAACGACCCCGCTATACGGTAACCGAAAAAATTTCACAGTAATATTATTTGAAAAGAAATGCTTTGTTGGTGTTTTCCTCATCACCAATAGTGAGATCTCATTCTTAACAGTGAGGACTTGTTTTTTTGGAATAAAACTTCCCGCGTCATTTGGTGTGACTCTGAATGAACTTCAGCATTTTGCGATGGCCGCCATGATGATTTTCATATTATAATGCAAATTACGACGTCAGGGTGACAACGTTTCCCTGAAAGTCAAAATAACTGAACCTAATCATAACTGGAAGCGAAAATATATAATTTAAGCTATTGATATGAAAGGAACATTTTGCCTGTGATCACGAAAGAAAACACATGTAACTAATTTCAAATCATCATTATTTTTATTTCAGTTTTTAGCTTTTAATTTAATTTCATGGTTAGCAGCTCTGGATATTTTTTAAAGACACAAAATGTTCTTTGTTACTTTTCCTACTCTGAATAACAAGCTCATGAGTCATCACAGTGATCAAAATTTAATTACTCATCGACGATGGGCCTTGAGGCCAGGAGAACAACTGAACCGATCAACATTGGAAAATTGTCTCGCATTACAACCAAATTCTCAAAACCTGCATTGAGAAATCAAGAAAGGCAAGCAAGGAAAATTTACATTATGACCAAGACTTAAAAATATTACGACTCGTGCAATATCAAAAAGGAGACCTGAATTATTATTTCTCGTTCTTTTTTGTGGGAAATGACGCAACTAACTTACCAAGATTGTTCCAAAGTTGGGAAGGTTTACACCAAATTGTCCTGCATAAAGCTTCACACTATTTAGCTAAAGATATAAAATGTATGAAACGTGCGAAAAAATATCAATATCAATATCAAAATTAGGGAAATATAGAAGCAAGTCGAAAGTTTTCTAAGATAACTTCATTGTGGACAAAGTATTTGATTTTATCAATTTTGATAACAATTTGACGAATGTAAACCAAGCGAAGAGGAGCACATATTGTACCTTTGTTGAAAAAGAAAACAAACAACAACAACAAAAAAAACCACATTTATTTCTTTGTTTTTCCGGTTTATTATATGGCTGTGTCTCAGGAGGACTGGGAACTACCGAATTCACGAATTTGTTTGGCTGAAATCGATATTGACCGCGGTCAAGATTCTCCCATCTAGACCGGCATCTACACCGGTTTCATTTTGCGTTGAAATTGTAGCAAACTGAAATACAAAAATGTTCACCGTTTTCTTTTATTTTCTTCTCAATCATTTATGGAAGTGCCAAAAAGCCTGATGACGAAAAAAGAAGTAAAGAGGACGAGCAAATTTCGGCAGGTTTAAGTTAAGCTCATCGCCGTTCGCTAGCAAAATTTCAGGAAACCAGTTACATTAAACGAATTAAAGTTTTCTTCTTTGCCATATAATAAA